TGTCGAGAGAGGGTTGCGGAGATGAGCACAGACACCCCCATATTTAGCTCGATTCAATGAACCAAAAATCCCCAAAATGATAAAGATAGGAGCAATAGTGTTGATGTTCATGAATCGTTCGGCGAGAGACAGAGCGAAGGTTTATGGGCTCATTGATTCTATGAATTTCGGTATTGTTGGAGTTGATGTGCAGAAAAGATCGAGAAGACCGAGATGGAGGTGTGCAGGGAGTGACCAGCCACCGTATCTAAACAGGTCCATGACCGGTGAACTCCCCCTTATATATATGGTATTGTTGGAGTTGATGTGCAGAAAAGATTGAGAGGACCGAGATCGAGAAGACAATGACCGACAGAAACAGTGGAAGGTCCAACCGCTAGACAGGTGTGCGGGGAGTGACCGGCCATCATACCTAAACAGGTCCAACCGCTAGACAGGTGTGCGGGGAGTGACCGGCCATCGTACCTAAATAGGTCTATGGCCGGTGAACTCCCCCCTTATATATATGTAGATATACCACTTGTTGGAGGCTTCGTTAATAGTCGTATCTATTACGGATTTTAACCAAGAGACAAAAAAAAAAGAATAGTTTTGTACTCCCCATTGACATCGGCTTCTGTCATCCTCGGCAATAATGGATCCTGAACTAAGGAGTCTGTTGAAGGCAAGCATGGGGTCTTCGCGGCAATTACACTTATGGATTTGTAAGTTTCTCTCAAACTTTGTTTTGATTTTGTGGTTTCCTCTAGTATCCCCCGTAACCGATTTCGAATACTGAGGAGATCATCCCCTCTTTTGTTTAACAGAAAACCCTTTTGTGTAAGTGTAGGGAAGGAACAAGTGGAGAAAGTGTTTGGCTACATTTATCGAAAAAAAAAGTCTAGGCGGCAATAGAACAATATGTTGAATATTTTAGTTTCTAAAATAAAATAATTAATTTAGAATTTAAGGATAATAATTAAGTTGGCAACCCTTCACAATGTTTGGTGATTATTTCCTTACAAGCCAAAGGTTATGTACTTAAATTTGTATCCTTCTAATTCTGCAAGGGTTGCCTATAAATAGGTGAACTAGTGCAGGATTTTTTCGAGCCTTTGCATTCCTAAATTCTTGAGAACATTCAATAATTGCAAGTTACATGTTCTTGTGTTCTTTACGTCCTAGAGGCAAATTGCCAAACAAACCCGGTATTGCAACATGGTGGGGGCAAATATTGTCTTAAGTACAGTGTCTAACACGACTAGAACACATTCAAAGCTATGTGATTCCCCCATTATTGTTAGATCAAAGAATCTATCACTAACGTTCATCATTCTTCTTCTTTACTCTTCGCCGTATTTTGTGTTGTCTTTTTGGTTACTACCCTTGATATACTTTCAATCTTAAGAAAATATCTGAGCCATGATTTTGGTACAAGTATTTAAGGAGACAAAGATCAAAGATTGTGGAAAGCAATAAAGATGGATCTTACAACTTAGAGATTTTTGGATGTGCTCAAAATGTTTTCTCTACAGTTTAGTTCTGTAGTCAAGTTTTCAAGACAAATCTAGAAAGATCTGGAGTATACACAAGCGAATATACAACAGATAAGTTTCTGATTTAGATACATTAACTTTGTGTTAAATGTTTTTCTCTAGATTTACAAATTCTTAGTAAATTAGTCCATGATGATAATTTCAAAGTTTGTAGATTTGAGTTTTTAATTTTGTATTAACCAAATCTAGTATTGTGAAAATTATGTAGATTAATTGGTATTTAAGATCTTATAATAATTATTCTTTATTGATCTTAAAGTAAATTTTGTTGACAAAAACAAAACATGCAATAAATGTGTTTTCATGAATTTCTTAGTTTTAAGAAATGTGAAAAACATAGCCTTTATGTGAAAAATTGTGAATATTTATTATTCAAACTAGTAATGTCATTTGTATTGAAAAAAACTATAATTATAGTACTTGTAATTTTATCGAATGTAAAAACATATTATGTTAATGCCCGTCAACCTTATCGTCGGTTAATTTGAGTCGACAGAAAGGTCGACACTTATTGGAATGTGTTACATTTTTATGTTTGGGTCTATCAACATTGTCGTCGATCTTCGTAAAGGGGTCAAAAAAGTCGACGATTCATTAGAAAGGCTCGCTATTCTGTTTGTCGACTTTGTCGCAGATTTTAGTAAGGTTGACAGAAAAGTCGGCGTTTATTAGAATAGTTTGTCATTATGTTTTGTCGACTTTGTTGTCGATCTGACAGAGTTGACAGGAAAGTTGACGACGAAAGAGCATAACTATATTCCAATAATTTTTGGAACAATTTTGGTTCTGAAAATTTGATGTTATATATGGAATTAAATATTTTATGAATGTGAAAATTTTTCATAGCAATGCAAAAGTATGGTTATGGTGAAACGAAATCAATAACTTTTAGGAAAAGTTGTGATTTCTTGATTTTTGGATGAATAAAGACATATTAAGTGTTTTTGTCTTATGAGTTCAATTGAATGATACAAATTAAAGTTGTATCTATTGATTTTAAGTGAGAAAACACAAATGAAAGAAGGCGTCTACTAGTTCCAAGTGAAACACATATTTGAAAGAATACGTCAAGTGGTTTAAAGTGGAAAGACACAAGTGAAAGTCATGCCTAGTCATCCAAATGACACGTTAAGGTTATGACCACAGTTGATTGCCAAGTTTTTGCAGTGAAACTTTTGAATTGCCAGTGCTTACGTTTGCATTGTTATATTCAATATCAATACATTTGATACAGTGTTATGCTTAGACATTTTTATTATTTGTGGCTGTTAAGGTATTATATATCTATATACGATATAAATTAATTAGTGTCAAATGCCTTAATAATAAAAATGTAAAAAATATGCATAAACCATGGTTGCAAGATTACTTTCAAATAAAAGTCGGAAGTTATTGCTGGTACAATACTTTGTTGTATGTGAACTTAATAATTTTAAACTAAGGGATGCAAGAAATATTTTATCACTTTTATAGATAATTGCTCATATTTATGTGCAGGCTTATCTAATAAAATAGTAGATAAAATATTTGAATTTGCATGTAAATCTCTAGTCTAAAATTACTCTAGTAGGTAAAATGAACTAGTATTTAATAAACAAGAAATAGTTTGGATAAAAATATAAGACTCTATGTGTCATGGCAATGCTATGCTAGTGAGTTAAAGTAGCCAAAAGGTTTGTGGAATAAATATTATTAAATAAATGTCATGTGTACAATTAAAATTCTTAAAGATTAAGTGTCTCCACGTGAAATGTGGAAGGGAAGAAAATTGTATTATCAAATATAAAAAGTTTAAAGTGACACTACATCTTGTTGTGTTCTTAGTTGGGACCAAGAACACTTAAGTGTTGGTCATATGGACACTAAAGTATCTAAACTACTTATCACTGATTATTATGTATTAATATAATCAATAGATGTAAATTCATTTAAAAATATATTTTTTATGTTTCTAAACCAAGTAGCTAATGTACCATTTAGTGAACCTCCCAGTTTCCAAAGTGCAAGTGGTTCTATAAATGAACCAAAGAGAAAGACATTGACTTTCTGGTTTAAGCAAAGTCTAAAGTTTATGAAAGTTCTCTGGGAAGTTGTATCTTCTAAGCCTACTGTCTTCCTAGTGAGAGCAATAAAAATACTCTACTATAAGATAGCTTTTGTAGAGTAAGTTAAAACCAACGAGTGTTTTTGAATTTATGGCTGATGAATTTTGGAAAAAAGAGTTAATCATCCAATGGATTTGACATTGTCTAGCGACGTATGTGTCCGAATTGATTTAACTTGAAAGGTTATAGACTAAACATTATAAATGGTTATTCCATTAGTATTATGCTATTGATAGCAAGATACATTAATAGTATTTTTGGACTTGAAGTGTCATAGTTGCTTTGATTAGTTTGACTTGCATATTTTATCCTACTATTTAGAAGTTTCCATTTAAGTTTTTCATGTTCATCTGTTAAATATGGAAAGTTATTATCCTAGTAGTGATTTATATGAAAATGTGTATATGGAACTTCATAATACTTTGTGCTATGAAGTAATAAAAAGATGTGTGAATTAGTGAAGTCTTGATTTGAATTTATACAATTAATGGAGATTGATCTAAGTTACTCTCACATGGTACATATATAAATTGCATATATCAAAAGTTTGTGAAGAGTATGTAATACATGTTTGTTTTTTTATAAATATTTATGCTCAATGCATATACTAATTTCAAAACGTGCAGTGGATACTAAGAAAAATCCTTTTTCTAAGTTCAATTTTTTTTTTCAAAAAAAAAAAAAGTTCAAATTAAATGAGTTTTGTGAAAGAGGTAATATCTTAGTCGTTATATTGAAGGAAATAGTGGGGATTTTGTACTTTCTTATTCATATGATGTTAATAAGTTATTAACAAAGTATTAACATGTGAATGTGAAGAAAGTTTGTACTCTCATGTTTTTGTATTTAACATTGATGTTAAATGTGACGATCCGATTACTAACTAAAATATTCTAGTGATGTTGGATGTCTTGTATGTGCATTAGAGTAGTGTTTATCTGTGTGATATGTGACTCGCTAATTAAACTAAGTGCCTAAGAAAAGACAGTTACAAATCTAATTCTAAAATCATAACGTGTCTTTAAAAGACTAAGATTTATAATTTTATTATAAATGATAAGATTTTTATTCAAATGCTAGTTGGTATTCTAACATTAGTGATTATAACCTGTTAGTGGTTTGAAATTCATGCTTGGTAGTGAGAGATGTTTTTTAATAATTAGTCTGCAACTTATATTTTCTTTTTCAATAAATACTCCTAAAAATCATGTTGACTGTATTATATATAATTCAACAACCATAACTCTTATTTTCGAGACGAAGAGGTAGTAGCATTGCTCAGTCAAGTCTGAATCTTGTCTAAGGAAATTCAGATTTTAGAACACATTTTTTTTGCTATTACGATACCAGAACTTAGATACACGACACTGAATTCAATTAAATAAGGACATGTTGAAAAGTTCATCATCTCGAATGAAACAAACCTGTAAAACTATGATGTTTAAGACGTAAAAAAGGGAGCTTGCAAAGCCAAGCAAAATTAATCAATCAAAATACAACCGTGCACCAGTTCTTCTATACACAATATCCAGAATAAAGAGGAAAAATTCCTGTGAGGTAAGGAAAATGATTCGAAAGAAAAACCTAACAACAAAGGGGGGAAAAAAGAGAGAAAAAATGTCATCTTTATGCTGTGCAGTGGCATAATGCCTGCTTGGAACAGTTATTTTGTCTTAAAGAACCCAACCAGAACACCTATTAGGCCAATGAGTAAGACGACCAATAACGAAACTCGACCAGCTTGGTTTCTGCGAACTTCCACTCTCATCTTCTCCTGTCAAATGTAAAACAACAATGTGAAAGCGAATCACGGTGAAATCATACCAAGGAAAAAAAAAATTAAAATGAAAATAAACTAAAACACAGAGAAACAATGATGCTGCTTCAACACTTCAAAAAAACCAGAAGAAGAAGAATCTTCTGTCGATGAAACAGTCAAAAAACAATCACAACCTTGTCCATGTACAGAGATTACATTGGTTACTTATGAAGAGAAAACATAATCAGACACTGAACTTAGCATGTAAGAACATTCACATTCTAAAGAATCTAATCCATGTACCGTAAATTAGTTACTTATCATGCAACATAAAAATGTCACAACAGAGAAATTGAAGCGGACCATATGCACCAGGCAGAATTAAAACAACAATGATCAGAAGTAAGCAAATGCTGATTACCAGTTCATGATAAAGTTTTTGATTCTGTTCTGTAGCCGAAGTTTTCTCCTCCATCAATTTTGATATCAAAGGCCAATCCTGAAGCGAAATAGAGGGAACATATGGACGTAATTAGCTGATGTAAGCAAGAATTACGGCTGAACATTTAAGAGAAGGATAAATACATGAAGTGGGAAAATATTTGGCCAACAAATTCAATCTGTACAAAAGAACATGAAAAGGAAACACAGATAAAAAAATTCAATCTATACAGAAGATATGAAAAAGGAAATATAGGTTAAACCCAATCGGTCTCTCAATGTGTTTGGCTGTAAGAAGCATCCATTTTGATCATCTATGCCGAAATCTTCTAAAGATAATACTACACAATAAACACAGAAAGAACATAGCTTAATCTGAGGCCCCCTGATTGACCCCAAGCCAATGGCAGCCGAAACCTAACTATCCTTAAACAGAGATTTTGTGCAATCATCTTCAACTCAGCACAACAACATTAAAAACAAAGAAAGTGGGAAAAAAATCATTTATCAAACTAAGGTTGTAAATCCAGTGATCCACAAGTGGATATCAGAGAATCACTCTAACAACAGTTACCAAATATAAGTACTATACCAAAGCAAGCACACATGATGCAAACAATCACTCCAACAGAAGTCATTTTCAATTGTTTGTTGAATGTACATTGTACTGCCTTTTTGATTAATAACTTTGGTCAATCTGGGATCGTTGAAATTGAACTTTGATTCCACTACATAAAATTACCTGATATAGAGCCCGATTTACCTTGTCTTATTTGATCAAAGCAACTTAAAACAATCGCAAATACAGAACTATTCACAAGAACACCTAAAGCTAGACCAATTAAATTAGCAGATCAGCATTTCAATTGCAGGTAAAAATATTGGATGAAACGGAATAGAATGAGATGAATACAAAATAGGATAATTTGCTGGGATAAACACAAATCCCAAAGTAAATTTCAGCAGACGCATCAACAAAAAGGTAATACCTAACTGCAATTGTTTTATCAAAATGCTTCTCATGCTAAACTTATAAAATTTTAGCGTCTGCCAAACGCAGACATGAGTTGAGAATTTCAATTGCACACATATTTCAATGAAAAGTTATGTAAAGACAACAAGCAACAAACTGCCACTTCTACTGTGAGTTCTAATGCATCAAGATCATCAAAGTTACATAGTTTCAAGTATACTTTTATGTGTGAGTTTGCATCTAAAAGAAATAGGGGTCTTACCTCCTCAGATGTCCCTCTGCCTATATACTCTTCCAAAGACCTTGCAATCTGGCAGAATCAATGACGAAAAAGTATGATTGAAGACCCCAGGTGCATATTTGAGGAAAAGAAATGTAGAGAATTAGCTACTTACAGCTTCAGAAGAACTTCTAACTGCATCCTCAACAGTGGATGACCTAGGTGAATTTTCCTCTTCGGGTTCTTCAGGGACGGGGGAAGGGGGATTTGCTGGAATATAAGCAACCCTCAATTTAAACTCCCCAACGACCTTCCCATCCTCTTTTTCAAACTACAAAACAAATCAGGATAGTAAACTATAAAGAACTTTTGAAAAAACGCCAAAAATCAAGGCAACAAACTCTAAAAGGATTCAACAGAAATCACAAAGACCCGACCCACCGTTTGCTGATTCAAGTCCTTAACTGTTGAGCCACCAGGAACAATAACACTTTGAACCAAGAATTTGTCTTTACACTGCATATCAGCAGGCATTTCTTTAAGCGCCTGCATATTAACTACGAAAATAAACAAAACTTAGATTGATACCATCATAAGGGCTAAATGATTAATCAGATAACTGATTTTCAAAATAAGCATCAAAAGCTTAAGATAGTCTATCCAAAACAACACGAACATTTTCTCTCATAAATAACAATAACTCATGGGATAATATTTACCTGTAACATTAGTTACGGAACCAGGCTGAATAACACCAGAATTTGGACGAACACTATACTTCCGCGGGTTGGTAGTTTTAACCTTTCAAAAGACCATAAAAGTGATCAATTAATCCAAATATAATAAACAAACAAACAGTACATTCGATAAAAGTTTGGTAGGATCACAAAAGTACCTTGAATGCAACATATTGATCAGTCCTATTGGTCAGTTGCATAGAACAAGAACTCTGCTTCCTCAGTTCAACTGTTGCAGACGCATACCACAAACACATCAAAATTAAACAGCACAGATTTTATCGCAAATTTCAGAAACGAACGAAGAAAACCAACAAAAACCCATTCGCTCAATTAAACCATGGAAAACCTCTATGAACAACTAACCGAAGCAAAATATTCAACATAGAAGGCGAAAAAGACCTGAAATTCGACTTAATCAAACCTTGCCCAATGAACCCACGCATTAAACAACAGAATTCGAGATCAAGAACGAAGTGCATCAAAGATAAACACGAATTCGGTTCGACTTACAAGGAAATTTGAGTTCTGTTGGGTGAATACTTAGAAAATCACCGGGTCCGTTAAGTCCCATGGCTCCCTCCACTTTGTCCCCCGATTAGATTCTGACAATAAAAAATGAGAAATACAAATTCTTTTTCCTTCCTTTTATAAGGGTTATTAAGGGGAGTAAATCAGTAAAGAAATCAGATTGATTGTTTTTTAAAATTCGATTGAGACAGAGATTTAAAGGATTGGACTTTCCCCGTAAATAAACATAAAAAAAAAAAAGAGAAAAAATGTAGGATTGGAATAGAAGTTGAAGAATAAAAATTGTTGAAATAAGAAAATTATGGATCTTGGAAAAATAACTCAAAATTACCAAAATAATTTTCTTTATCCGTCCAAACAAAAAAATGGATATTGTAATTTGTAAGAAGTCAAAAAATACCAGTTCATTTTGATTGGTTCTCTAAGAGCCCATTAGCTCATTAATTAAGTAGCATAATTCACTAATTGTAAGTTACAAATTTGAAATATAATTAATATTATTTTGTATCTTGAAAATCACTAGTAATGAAGCAAAGTTTTAATAAAAGTAGATTTTTTTTTTTTTGTGAAAAGTAAATATATTAACATAATCACCAAGAAGCGTTCTGTACAAATGCTCTAGTTGCCTAACTCAGAAGCTACAAAACTGCAAAACTGAGCTACAAAACTAATACCGTGTACCATCACTATCAACAAATAAAACTACCAAAAAGAAACAAATAGCTAAACTTAGAGAAAAAATCTATGCAAAATTTTCCTTTCAACTTCTAAGACTCGTTTCCTTTTCCATACCTAGAATCTGCACTTCAACTCAGCTTGGATTCTTCTCAATATATCTGCTGGCTCTTGTTCCAAGTTGTCATGGTACCTTCTGTTCCTTTCTTCCCATATGTGGTAAACACAGGCATTCAGACTTGCCAAAAAGATCTGACATTTCAACTTAGTTCCTTTCCATACATTGGTTTTCTGCTGCCTCCACTTATACCCCTGGTTTGACAACTTCCTGAATCCCAACCATCAACATGAAGCATCTTGAATATCAATATGCATCAAGGCCAGCCTATCTTTTGTGAGAAGTATCTTTTTCCATCCCAGCCAAGAAGCTATGTCTGGAAATTGTCATTCTATTCCGAACACACTGGTATTCTGGCTTCTTCCTACCTCCACCAACCAGCCACCTATATCCCGAATTCATAGTATATTTTCCTTGGATCCTCGCCTTCCATTTTGAGCCTTTAAAACCATTTTTCACCTGATCTCTGAGCTTCAACAACTGCTTCCACTACCAACTAGAATCAAGCTTAAATTGTATATAGATGCCATGGATCCACTTAACCCATAATGTCTCCTTTTGCTAAGCTAGTTGCCATAACTGCTTGATGATTGCAGCCTTGTTCCACATTTTAGTATCTCTGATACCTAGACTACCATCCTCCTTTCTTTGCAGACATGTGGAGAAAAAATCCATGATTGCACTGGTAACATCATCACCGATCACACTCCAAGTAGCTTTGAAGAATCCTGCTCCGAATCCATCAGGACCTGGACTCCTGTTAGCATGCATTTCCCAGATTGCATCCTTAATCTCCTCCCTCCTGATTGGTAGTATTAGCTTGACTTGTTGATCCACATTCAAAACTGGTCCCAACTTAAAAATCTCTCTAGTTGCAGGTTTTCTCTCTGCAGCTTTCTCCAGCAACTGCTTGTAGTAGTTCACAAAGTGTTGTTCAATTCGATACTAGTCATGCACTACTTCCCCAGATTCTTCCTTTATACTCCAAATACGATTTCTCATAATTCTGGCCTTCAACATTCAATGAAAATATTTCGTATTTTCGTCACCTTCCATCAACCACTGTTTTTTGGCCTTCTGTTGAAGAAAGCAGTTGGCAGCTTTACTCGATTCTACATATTTCTTGACAGCTTCCCTTTCACTAGCTTGGATCATAGTATTAGAGGGATCTCTGCTCAATGCTTCCTGCAACTTCAAAAGTAGATTATTACCTTAGCATTAAACACGGAAAACATCACTATAATTTACTCCGTCTATCCCAGAATAATAATACACATTATAATTTACTTTTTTTGAAAGCAACATTATAATTTATGAATTGTGTATAAATAGTACTGATAATTTTCTCAAGTCCAACTTGGAACAAGTATAAAAATTAATAAAAATTAAAATTAATGTAAAAATAGAAATTGCAGCTAAATATGTTATATAATAAACTTAGATAAACAACTAATTTACAACCATTAGTGAAAGGGGAATGTCATAGTGGTTGAAAGGCCATGACACCAACCGCAAGGTCGCAGATCAAAAACCCCTTGGCAGTAAGAAATTGCTGGCCATTTCCAGTAGGTTTGTCAGGAGGCCTCTTCTTCAAGCACCAGTTGGACGAGACATGTGGAGTTTTTCCCTATACAGTATTCTCCCCTTCCCCAAGACCCCGCCCTTGTAATTGTGTAGGTGCTTGTAATAGTGTGTATAAAAAATAAAAATAAAAAAAATTAGAACCGTTACAAAAATTGAAGAAAATCAAAAATAAAGTAGAATAAAAAATTTAGCTAAATATATTATATGATAAACTTAAATGAACAATTGTCTTAAAATATTTACTAGATACTCAACCTGGTCGATACCCGATCGGCAGACACATTGTTGTTATTTAAAAAAATATTGAAATAGAATAGCCATAAAAGTAACAATAATAATGTGTAATGTTATTGTAAAACTTGATTAAAGAAAAAAGATGAAATTTTTTTCGTGGGACCATGAAGTAATTTACTCGATCTCATATCTGTAATTTTTTATAAAGGATAATATTGAAGGGTGATTGTAATTGACGCTGTGCTTATCCACTCTTGCGCCTGTAGAAACCTCTCCTTACTTGGACTTTAACTACTGCAACCTTTGATCGTCTCGATTTGATTTTGGAACAATGCTTTTTTTTTTATGAGAATAAATAACTGGCCTATTTTTTTTAATAAATAAACAACAAGTTCGTTTTATTAATTTTTGTTTAGGCGGAAAAACATACTTTTTGCAACTACCAAGTGACCTTCCTTGCAGTTGCTTTAAGTAAAAGGGGAAATATCTATTGAATGGACGAGTGTATGAGTATTGACATCTCTAAATTGCTGAACACCACTTTGGTTTGTGTAAGACCCAAAGCCCACAACAAGTTTTCACCATTGATATCACACACAAGGACTAGGTTCCCCTCACAAATTAACATGTATCAATGTTTACCTCTTATTCCAAAACTTAGAAAATATGAGCTATTTGAAAGAGTAACAAAATCACTCGTCATCATTTAGAAATGCAAGGTATAACATTTAAGTTGCCACAAACCTGATTAAAGAATCAATTACTGTATGAACAACTATCACTAAATATCAACAAGTATTCCTAAGGATTCACACATAAATATTTCACTTAATTTGGGACCATTTACACCATATGGTCTTATCTTCGATATTGTTTCATAATTCAATGCAATCTACTCCAGGAGAGTTTATGCATCCTATAGAATCAAGACGGATTTTCATAAACATTATAATAAAGTTTAGGAAGGTGGGATAACATGGAATAGCAACGGTTTATCATTATAAAATTTGGAAGTTCACAACCCAATACTTCTTGTCTATTATTCCTTTATGTTCTCTGAACATCCCCAACTCAACCAATAATGGCTCGAGTGCCAAACTTGGTAATGACTTTAAGATCACAAGAATCTTTTCTTTTGGGATTTATTTATTTTATTTTACTTTAAATATCATTATTCATTTACTTTACTTTTTCCTTTCTTTCTATTCTTTTTCTATAAGAATCAATGAGGTGTCTTTTTTTTTTTTTTTTTTTTGGCTCTTCATGGATCCAATCTTTTCCATTCAATAAAACATTTTTCTTTCTAATTTAGTCAGTCAAAATATAAAAAATAAAATTTCAGATCTGTAAGGGAGGGACAAAAAGAATGCCAAAAATTTAGGATAAAAATTATTGTATATGGCTTCATGTATCAGGCATAATGCATAGAATGGCTCAAAATGGTCCATCAAGAAAAAAAAAATTAGTATAGGGACAGTAGTTTAGCAAACTAAATATCGGTAAAACCTAATTATCCATATCACACTTCTTAGTTTGAATATGAAAGCAAAATTTGAAATTCAGCACTACCAGAATGATGCACTTAAGAGAATATATTACTCTGAGCAATTCGCTCAAAAAATATGTGGCATTACAATTCTCATTTTAGTCGGATTTTTGACCATCTGCACAAGTATTCTTTAGTTTTGACTATATCAACAGTTTTTGATTTGCCTCTTTTTAGAATGAAAGCCTAAGTAACCACATTGTTTCTCAAAGAGATGGTAACAAAAGAACTTGATAACTAACTAGTCTAACTACATGAATCCTAACCCCTAGAATTCAGTCTAGAAACTAGATTTACCAATATGACTAAACGACGCAAAAAAACACTTCCAACATAGAGCATCTTGACAAAATCTATCAAAGAGAGCAGAATTTTTAGAAGCTATTACATTTTTCTCAAGACTACATGTGCTCCCTCCATACTAAAATCAATGTCATTAGACAATGTAGACAGTTTAAGAAAATGTTAAATATGGTAGGTAATTACTAGAAGATACTCAACCTATCACATTACTACCCCATTACTAGAACATGATAGGTGACTATTGTTGGCGATTTGCTTAACGAATTTAGCTCACTACTTCTCTCCATAAAATGGTAGAGTTTTGTGGCAGTTCATTGATAGTTATTCTTTTGATGGTTTTTTTGGTTCCATATATCAAAAAAAAAGCACAAATAAAAAATGGAACATGATCTTTATAAACCAAAGTCATATGACTATTACCTCTAACTCGAACAACTTAAAGAGAAGTAGGCATAATTTAGTCAACAAATGGACATATGTAAACTCTTACATGTTAATTTGTATTCTCTCAATCTAAATCACACACCTAAACTTATAACAAACACATGAATCATTAAAGAGAACAAATACACTCTAAGGTTTATGCAGCGTAATCATGAAATGTTGGTGTACATATGCTCAATGTAACATCCTAATAGAATTAAATTATTGTGTAAAAATGATATCATAATAATTATGGTATCCCCTGATCTTCTTGCACATCTCAGTCCGAGGTTTGACGTTAAGAGAAAAGGTTAAAAAGAGTTGGGGGGGTGCAATTTTTCTTGGCTCAATGAGTGAACTCAGTGAGAATGTGAGTGGGTATTGTGGTAAAGTGAGAGAGGAGGATGGGCTTTAATAGGAAGTAAGAAATGATAGAAGTTGGGAGAAGTTTCTTGACTCATAATTTTGATTAATTTTTTTTAGATTCTTTTTCTTGACTCATACTTCCTCTTCAATCTTCAAACGGTTCAAGTACAATGATTTTGGTGAGTAAATCTTGTCTATGATAACATGCACTAATTATGACTTTCTCTTTATATGGCGCAGCATCGTTTTGGCATGGCATAACCAAATCAAAAGATAGATGTGTTGCTAGTTTGCGTTGGTTTTCATGCTATATATTGAGTTTCAAGATCTACTAACTATTTTCTTGGACGATGGTGGTATTGTGAAGTGTGAACCATGTACAGGTCACAGAGTTTGGTAAAAAATTAGTAATTTCTGGCAAATTTTGGTTTTGTTTTGTTTTATAGTATAAGCACTCTGATGTTTTGTTTCTTATATTGAATACAAAGATTGCACATGGAGATGAGGTATCAAGTATCTGTAAAACATAAATATGTTAAAAAAAAATTATATAATTTTTGTAGTCCTCAATACATATGTCATGTGTGTGCTTTTTTATTTTCCCAATATTACTGTTTTTTAGGCTTTTTCAATGTGCTTCTATGTTGCTTTGACATCATCAATAGTTGGGAGAGATGTAACGTTTCGAAACAAGAACATTTTATGTTTGTTTAACCAAATTGATTGATTTACATTCACAATCTGGAGATTCACTTGATAGTCCCATGTACGTCTTCTAGAGCTCTAATGGAAACAGGTAAAATTCGTTAATTTTGATCAATTCACACTAGGTGATCTACATATAAGACGTACTATTTGAAAGAGGTAAAACTTGTTAATTTTGATCAATTCATTCAAACAACAATCATTAATAATCCAATAATTTTCAATCGTACTTGTATTTATTTAGTTCCTAACTCAAAACAAAAACTTACCTCTATTTTAATTATAAGGATCTTTTATCATTTTAATCAAATTAATTTTGACATTTTGAAACTTGAATGTTTTTTTAGAGACAAATTTTGTTATGAAACTAGACTATTTTACTGAGATGGTGGAAGTAATAATTTTTTTTTTTTTCATATAGCTCAATGTGACATATAATAATTTTATTTTGACTTACTATTTTGAATTTTGAATCCTCTATGCCTTTTAGAAATGTTGTGGGGATTCTATTTGATATCTTCAACAATGATGTCTATGATAAAACTAAGTTCGTTCTCACTCATGCATTGGATGTAATATGTAGAAATATATTTCCGCCAATATTTTTTTTGGGTAAATCAATCCACGCTATTGAAAATATTTAACTACTAAATAAACACAATGAAAATTGCAAAAATTAAGGGTAAGGGATCTAGAATTTATATTCACGACCTATATACAAAGCCAATCACCATCACAACACTCCAAAGAGCCAAATGTTTCCTCACCACTGTAAGTCATGTACAAGAAACCATCATCATCATCCTTGTTTTTATCATAAATGGAGGACATTATGGTAACGGTTGGGGGCAATGTATTCTTTGCAAAGATAAGATTGCCTTCTCAGCAGAAACTTGCATCTTTCATGTATTACATAAATAAACTGGCCTACAGACAAATCTCTAGAGACAAAGTACTTCTTTTTATCAATATCCTTAATGTCACTCTTTCGTGACTCCACAACAATCACTGAAATTCTATCTAGATGCCTCTCCCTGATGTGGGAAGATTCAACTTGTTTTCTCTGGAAAGAGTGTTCAGATTTAAAACTCTTGGCCATAGCAGCTACTGTAACAAAAACTCTACCATAAATTTCGTAAGAAATCAAATTAATAGGAAAAAGCCCAGACAAAACATTTCGGTCTACGTCAATTCTTTAAAAACTCTGTAGTAGTTTTTCATAAAAAAAAAAAAATCAAATTGATAGGAAATAGTCGACGCAAAACGTTTCCATCTACTTCAATTCTTTAGTAACTCTGTAATAGTTTTCGTATGAAATCAAATTGACAGGGAAAAAGCTTAACCAACGGGTTTTTTCTAGTAAGGTTTTAACGAGGCATTATTCTATAAAGATGGACAATCAAAAGGGAAGTGTTATAAAAGATTTGATTTAATTGAATCTCCACAATTAATTTATATTATTCTATTCACAATCAGAGGTATATAATTTTGTAATACTTAGCATTATTGATAGGGTGATTTGATTCACATAATTTGGTCCCCTCCTTCTTGTATAAATAGTGAGTTTATTCATACTTTAGATTTACATCTCAATACAATTCTCTTATCTCTCTCGACTCTCTTATCTCTGCTTTCTTGTTCTTATGTTTAGTTTAATATTGCTAATTTAGTAGAAATTTTATATAACAAATTAAACGACTTGTTGTCATGAAACTGGGACTCATGCGATAGAGTATCTGGGTAAATTTATGGCTTATTTGGACAAGTCTAGCCTTCTAGGGTTAGTTCCCAAATTAGTAGTTTTTTTTGTTTTCTTCAACATAATAATTGTGAATTCAGTATTTCAGTATTTTTCAGCTTTATTTGTCTAAACGACAGTTATTTTATTATTTCACCTGATGAATAGTGTGCTCGTCAAGGAGAAAATAATGAATGAAAATTCAATTCCGATTTCTACTTCAAATTCTTTCTCAATTCTTGCAGAATCTGGATTTCGTAAGGTCACTCGTGACAAACTGTCATGGTTTTAGGGCTAGTTTGGAATTAGGTAAAATTAGAAAGGTTAAATCTTAATTTTAGTATCTTAGTTCAGTTTATATATTGTTTACCGTACCATAATGTGGGATTATTGATTATGAAATGCAAATGCATAATTCTGAATTCTAATTCTCCCCTAAATCCCTTTCTTCCCCATTCAATCTCTTTCCCTGGTTTCGTCGTTCATTTCTTCTTCCCCTTCTTCCTTTTTGACCTTCTGAAATCTGAAAATCCGATTCACCCATGGAATTAAACCATCATCCGTGACATTGGTATCCAGAGCCGGCGATTCTCTCGGCCGGAATTCAATCAATTGTTATTATCAAAGAAAAAGGTTTAAAGGGTTCAATGGCTTCGTTCGGACCAGAAACGGCTCACATGGAATCCTTTGAAGCATGGTTCCAGACGCAAGGAATGGAACTTGAGGAATATTTTGATTGTTTCCGCTATCGCTTGGAACAGGGAGTTAGAGAGGTTGATGAAGGCGTTTATGCTGAACTTGATGAGAAATTGGATAACGTCTTCAACCAGCTACGGACAAAGAAAGACGTTAAATTTGACAGCCAGACAACTATTCCGGAAAAGGAAAAGGAGCCAGAAATCTATAGTAATTTTTCGATCAACTCCTGTAAATTTTCGAATAATTTTGTTGCAGATGGTGACGGATGCATGTCTATGATTGATGGCACTAAAAAGTTTATGAAAATGGTTGATGATAACATGGGAAAATTATCTGGAAATGGTCATTTAAGCATTCATTTTACTGAGCCCAGAATCATTGTTGAGTCATTAGTGGAAGCTGATGATTGTTCTTGTGTTCTTTTTGGTAACTATCAAATTTTGATGGGTGAGTTTGGATTATTATTTACTGGTTTTAAAGGTGGGACTAGTATCATAAATGAAATAGTTTCTGTTGAATTTAAATTCATTGTCAGCTCTAGTTTTGGTTGTGGAGGAGTTGTACTGCACTTGTTTGGGAATCGTATTTATGTTCTTAGAGTCTACATATTAAAGAAAAGTAGCAACATCATTGAAATTGAGAAATTCGGGCTGGATTATCTGGTAACCTTGAATTTTGAACATGTGGTTATGGAATTGTGTACAACTCAGAATTGTCACTGAAAGTGTGATTTATCTGCATCTAAAATAAACACTGTTAATTCAATTTGTGTTGAGGAAGTTGACGTTTTATACCGAGAAGGATTAGAAGCTCTTGGAGACCTTATATTGTTTGAGCTAGCCATATTTGGAGTTTATGCGCTGTTTGTAAAACTTGATGAATTTGGAGTATTGTTTGAAGACAGTATTGTTGTTTGCTTAGATTTTTCATTATTTGTGAACATCAATGTCCTTGCTGGTGAGGGATTAGTTTGTTTATTGAAGGATGAGATTGGGACTAGGTCTAAAGGTGAGTCAATGAGTCTTATAAAAGGACTAGTGTTCAATGGGAGTAGTGTTTTCCAGAGAGCTGCTGAATTTTAGTTTCCAACTTTACAGAATTCATACATGAACATCTTTTTGGCAGTGAAATCAGTTAAATGGTACCTTGGTTGGGATGATCACTTTTATTTTAGGTACTGGGAGCTGCATTTGCTTGAAATGGAGTTTGAAAGGGTTGGTGGTGGAGGTGTCATTGATTCACTTCCCAAAAGAAAGATTTATAAATCTACTTAAAACTATTAGCTAGTAGTAAGCAGGGTTATTTCACAGAGACGGCAGTCAACCACTCAAAATCTGGTTAAAGTGTAGAAAGGAAAGAAAATGAGTTGAACAGATTGTCACTTGGAAGAGTGAGAATAATCACTTGACAGAGTAAAGAGGTAGAAGGATCAATCACCTTTTTACCTTTATGATCTGATTTTGATTCAAATATTCCTGTTGGGTATGATTAGTTGGAGTCTTAGATTATCTAAATCACCTACCTTCTAGTCTGAGTAATTCATTAATCTAAGTCATTGAGTTCTTAAGCCTCTTTGATCGCCTATGCCATTCACTTAACTTCCATTGATGTTTGGAACCGCATGGTAGATTTCCTCCATTGTCATAGACTAGATTAAGCAGTTCTAAGACTATGCTCACCCTTCAAGATCTTCATAACCATGTAAGCACATTTAATTAAGTAGCCAAGTTAATTAAAAAGTTAATTAAATCACTTATCTAGGTACAACACCTCATAAAGGAAACTAAATCAAAATCTTCACATAAAGATAGTAGGGATTAAACCCTTAAATGAGTTAGCTACTCATGTTTATTGAGTTACACATGAGTGCAACAAAGTATAAAAGATAAGAGATGAATCTAAATAAAAAAAGTTAGAGGAAAGAAAAGGAAGATGGTAGCAGGGACAGTTTCTGTCTTCTTACTATGGCGAGTGGCGTTCGCCACTTGACAAGGTGACAATCTGCCTCCTTGTTCCTGCTACTACCCAGTTTCTAACCTACTAACTAACTACCTAACACTGTTTTGTGACTAAATCTAACTACCCATTCTGTTGTTTTTCTAACTGCTATTGGCTGACTATTTATGGAGATTTGGAGAAGCTTGGATTGGTTGGGTCTAGCCTTCTTCTCTGCAGCAAAAAGGTGAGGCAGCAACTTGCAGCAGTAGAGGTTTGTTTATTCAGCAACTTGCCTAGTTGGCAAGTTGCAATCTTCTCTTTGGCTGCTCTTTCTCTTCAGCCACAATCTACCTTCCTCTCATCGTTGCCTTCTTCTTTTAGTCTTCTCCCTTCGGCACAGTTTCTCCAATTTCCTGCTACAAATCTCTGTTTCTTCATTCTTTAATCCGCAGCAGTAGCAAGCAGCAGCATCAGCAGCATGCTTCCTTCCATCATTGTGTTTCAGCCCCCAATTCAACCTAAATCTTTCTGTCTTTTCCTTCATTGTTTCTTGTGATCACTTGCAATACCATTTCTCACCTGACTGCAGCAACCAATTCATCACTTCAGCAGCAGTAGTCACAGCAGGTAAGTAGCATGTTGTAGGTGTTGTTTTCCACATATTCTTCCTCTTTCTCTTTTTCAACTTGCAGCATCTATAATTTACAGTGATGGCGAAGCAATTCCTTCCTTTGACAGCAATAATTCAACCTTAGCTTTTCCTGATTGACAGTAACAATAGCAAATACAGCAATAGCAAAAGCAAAGTTCAATGTCAACCAATTTCATCCCCCATCTGGTCGTTATGTATGTCATGTGATCCGAATAGAGGTATCATTCATAGGAAAAATAATAGTAGTATTTTCTTTTTTAAAAAACATGTAGAAGAAACTCATTGAGTATCTTTTTCTTTAAGTAATAATACATTAATTTTCATACTTCTTTGGTCCCAAATTAATAATCATGCGTAGAATTTTCTTGTACTGAAAAAAAAAATCCAAATCACGTAATCATTTCAGAACGAGAGATTGTTCACTTACAAAATTGCAAAACCTCTTTATCCCTAATTCCCTTTCTTGTACATCAAATCCGACGACTAAATTTGATTCAAAGTACAAACAATCTAAAAGGTAAATAAAAAAATATGTGCTCAAACCATTTTTCGCAAACTGGCCAAAACCCAATGCGTACTGAGACGGGGGCGACAAGACAGGCCTCCAAATTAGTTACTCACACAAGTCACAAGGCCACAAACTGGATCTCATGGGTTGAAATGTTCTAAAATCTTTCCGTGTCAAAAAAAAATAACCCACACTCTAACCTGTGAAAATCAACAAGTATTTGGTTCAAGTGATAAAGGTATTGGACTAGTTTAACTATGACTCGGATTCAAACTCGGGCATGGGCATAAGCATGTAGCAGTGATTAAAATACTTATTGGAAGAGTTTTATCTCCGAAAGAAACTTATCTGACTCGAATTCAGATTAGTCGGAACAATGATTTTGGATATCGAGTGTGTAATATACTCTCACTTATGAAATGTACTACAATGTTTGACCATATACGCAACAAGTCCCAACAATCTCTCTTACTTTTCTTGCAATTTTACAAGCCCTTTTTTTTTATTATCAAGCGACTGCAAATTTTGCCCTTGTCCCAGAAAAAATAATCCATTTTATCATATTATTTTATAATTTGATAAAGCCAATTTTTATTATAATTATATATAATACCAAATTAAGGATAAACTACAAAAATGTAGCATATCAAATTAAGGAGAAACTATCATCATTACACACGTTGTGCAGTTTTTAGTTTTGGGCTTGTCGCAATTTTGTTAATGGGCATCTTCCCTCCTTGACGTTTGAAAACGCCCCAGTTTTAGTATAAAACTCTCCAATCTCCATCAGTCATGTTTTACAAAAATAATTCAACGAAATGTATTCTTACCTTGGGACAGAAAAAGTATTAAACAATCCGTTGTTGATCATTTTAGTTTGATATCTTATTCTGTGTTAATCTTTCTAAACAAAGAACCTTCATTCCCAAAAATATTAATTTTGCTTTTGTCAACGGATGAGATTCAAACTCATGACCATTTGTTAGTTCAGGGTGGAGAACCCTAATACAATAAGAAATATAATTAAATGCGAATGTGAATTGAAGTTTTTTCTTTTTTTTTTAAGAAAGGGAGAGCGGATAAAGGTTGGAATTGAACCCTTGGAGTCTTGAAGCTTCGTCAATCATATGAGAATGAATGTAGGAATTAATTAGGATGAAGAAGGTTGACCAATCATCAATTGAGAGGCAAAATTGGATGATTTTACCACATTTGAGAAAAAAGAAGCATTTATGGGTGTCTCCAGTCCCGACACAGATGAGCCAATATTTTTGAATTCACAGAGCCTTATTGCCTGCTTCTGCCTTCTGCGCTTCTTTCTGCCTGCCTCAAATACAAAATCTCTGTGCATGATTTGTGTATGATACAGATTTTCCATATACATGCAAAAGCCCGAGCTAGCTCCCAAATGGTCAAAATACAACCAACTTTTTTTCTCTACAAAATTATCAATTTTTTTAGCATATCATGGTAGTACACGCAGTGCACACACAGTTGATGGTGTGAGTGGTCCTTTTTGTTTTCGACCTTAATTTTGAACTTATTGATATAGTGATGACAAAATAAATTAAATGGGAGCCTTTCATATACAGCAAAGAAGAAGAAGAGCCCAGCTACTAATTTATATTTGTTTGTCTGCTTTTTCTTTTCTTTTTTTTTTTGCTTTCCATGCAAAATTCGCTAACTTTCTGCAACTCTCTCCTTTGTTGTACGTTATTGTTTCAAATTGCCCAATCAATTTGGTCTGCAGGGCTGCTGCGATGCAGGGACGATCACAGGGTTGTCATAATAAAGAAGAAAAAGAACACGCTTTTGGTCAAATCTTTTTGTCTTCATTTCAGTTTCTCTTGGTTAAATATCTTTAAAGAGCATGGCAGTAATCAAATTCACTATAACTTAACGTGAGTAGTGAGGTTGTGAGTTGTGACCATCTTAATACAGTATAGACCACTTAATTCAACCCGTAGAATTTATTCTAATCGGCAACAATGATTAATCCCCCTTGCTCATGGTAAGCACCTCGATGAGTGAGAGAATTGTCTAAAAAATTTAAAATTGTTTTATACGCATAACGAAATTCGAACACTCTAACCTATGGTTAAGGTGAAAGAGTCCTTATTCCAACAACTATTCTCTCGAATCTTATTGATAACGTACAAATTTAAAGTAAATATGTATTATATAAATATGAACCGAAATTAAGAGTAGAATGAGAATGGAGGAGCAAGACTGTCAAATCAGGATTATTTTGTAAGGCTATTCCGTATAAATGGAGCCTATTCCATTTATACGGAGTTACCGGTTCATAAAGGAGAATGAATTTTCAGGAACAAAAAATGAAAAAAAATGGTCACACTCGCACCTCCTTACACTGTTACACATAAGGAGTTCGTGGGTGTATGTAAGCATGTCTTTTATGCTGTATGGGAAGATAATGTCGTACACTTTCTGAAGGATCAGAAGATTCAGAATGGATTTTTGGGTGGTAAAACCGAACTCCCCCACCACCAAAAATCCAGATTGTTAAATGCACCCTATTCTGCAACTCTTTGTCGTGCTTCTTAAAAGTGTGACAAAAAACTGCCCACTTCTTTTCTTTTTCTTGCACAGTATGTTAATTGCGTTTTGAATTTGGATACTGATCCATCGTCTTGAATTTCCTTTAATGATGATATGTACTTGAAGCAGCAGCAATACATTATGCTCATCATCACCATCTAAAATTGTAGATGTATAGACTAATACCAATAGGTGCCTCCTTTAAATTTAATATTTTTCATTTCATCTTGCACCGGTAAATTGATAATTGATGCATTTTTTAATTAAGACAAGGATTGATTTCCAATTGCCACATTGTAAGCTCTAAACCATAGTAAAACTTTTACATTTCGATAAATACCCGACTCGATAATAAATATAAATAAAATGTATACACTTCTCCTGACCTATGAAGACCGTCAGCTAGCTTGTTGACCATTACTGAATTAATCCCCGCAGGCTAGACTCCCGGGACCATTTAGGGGCCTTTTAGTTTTGCACGTTTGAAGAATATCATCTGGGGAGTTTAATTGGTTCATCAATTTAATTATCCTGAAGAAAGAGAGATCACGATGTTAAAAAATATTTATTCCGTCCCACAAAAATAGTCCATATTAAATTTTGAATTTTATACTATTTATAGTACAAATTGAAAAACTCAACGTGAGCTACATTTTTGGGACGGAGGTAGTAGAATATTTATGAAAATTACTGAACAATTAGATTAGCTCCTAGTAATAATGATGTAACAAGTACGTACTAATAATACTCATCGTACGAATGTAACCTCTTCATGGTACGAATCAAAAAAACATGAATAATGGCATGTAATGAATTATTTTTCTAACCAACCTGTCGCTATTGTTCCTCATCAAGAACACTTGCTTGCTAATGTTTTTCTTAAAAAATACCTAGTTAGCGGCTAATAAATATTCAACCTAGAAGGTTCATATGCCACACTAATCAGTATTTTTCTATCAGTGGCACCACTGATCTTATTGATAAGCTGATAAGATTTCACCATATTTGATATTCGATGAACAAAACCAAAATTTTAATCACAAATAAATCGCATTAAAAATGTCTATATGCATTAGTCACATTTGTCAATGCTAAACACCTTGTAAATAATGGGGAAAAAATGCATTCGTGTTTAACGAATTCTATTATATCTCACAAAACAGATATTCTATTTGTTCTAAAATAATTTTTTTAGTTTGAATTTTTACTTTTAGAATAAATTATAAAAGTGAAACGAATGATATAAAATTTTCATTAACTTGTGTGGGAATGTGTAACGCGCCGGAGAAGAAAGTAGACTGTATACATGAGCTTCATGACGAAAGTCTCGGACATACTCAAAATTTATAGATAGACAAACCATTTATGTAAACATAATACTCACCTAAGACTAATTTTTGCAAACCGGTACAAATTGTAGTATTATTGTCAACAGAAAATTCGAAACAGATATAATTTCAGAAGTTGTTATTCACATGTTGTATGAGTATCTAAACAAACACTTGCCTTCATTATTATGTGTCTTATTCAGATAAATTTTAAATGTAACATTAAATACAAGTTTATTCAATAATATTACTCCCTCCATCCCATAATTATTGTCCAGTTTTACTAAAATGAAAGATTTTATTTTTGATCAAACTTAATTATATTTTACCTTAAACAACCGGATATACTCCTACATAAGTAATAGTTTAACCACTAAGATTTTATGGATAATGTTTTTTACTAAGGACAAATGTGTAACTTGATCCATAAAAAGTCAATTTGGACAATAATTTTAGGACAAAATTTTTTGGGCAAAGTGAACAATAATTGTGGGACGGAGGGAGTATTATTTTTCTCTACTTTTAATAATCTATATGCCTGACAAGTACCTATTAGTATTTTTTTAATTCAATTTTAAATTTTTGTAGAATATAATTAGATTCGACGGATTTTGTAAAAAAAAATTAAGGTAATACACATTACATTATTTCAAACCTATGAATTAAAAAATCAGATGAAGAAGGTTTTAATAGTATGTGTAATTACAATGTCCTCACGCGAGAAACAATCGCAATGCACCTCCTTCCAAGATTGACTGTGTGACCCTTTGGGTGAGGAGAAAATTGTTCCAGTCAACCTCTTAGATTCAGTAGACATAATCATGCGCCATCTAATCTATCTTGGATATTAAGTCGCAGCCTGACAAAAAAATACTGCCCAGTTCAGAGAAATTCACCATCTTGGTGATTAGTTCTCATTTAATTCATGATTGACAACTCAGGTAAGCAACCCTCCAAAAATGGTAAAGATATTTCACTTCTCAGAATTGGAATCATTACAAAACTCGCTGAAACAATCGGCATGTATGGTGATAGAGTATTACTCCCTCCATTGAAAAGGAAGGTCAAGACTGAAGACTCAAGGGGGGGGGCTTCTTCTCTTCTTCTTTTTTTCCCCCCTTTTTCGAGAAAATTAATGTATGATATGTATAAGGCATTGGAGAAGGAATAGTCTGATTACTTGATTTTGGTGGACGAAACAATTTTTGCTTGAAATGGTTCTATTTGTTTTTTTTGTCTGTATTTGGTTTGGTTTCTAGGGGAGGAGAAAAAGGAAAGAAGTAAAAGAAAACAAAAGAGAAGAAAGGTGTCTAAAGAGGGTGGTTGCTGGAGAGGTTGGGCAATTCTAGGATCGATTTCATAAAGAAGTAGAAGAAGTGTATATTGATATGGGCCATACTGCCATAACTCCAACTTGTTTTGTTCCTCCACTCATTATTTGCAGGTTTTCAGCCTTTCAGAATTTTGAACTGCTTCCACTATTTACTCCTACCAAAACTTAAGAACGTTCAAGTAGGATTTCCTCAGTCCCAAAATTATTGTCCAGTTTGATATTTTATTTTTATAATTTGAACTAAAAATGAAAATCTAAAATGGACAATAATTATGGAACGGAGAGAGTACATTTTAAGACGGAGAAAGTAACTAATGTCGTTCTAACATCGTTTAACTATCGTCCTCAACTTCAGATAACCATAATCAACTTCTCTAATAGGTAAAGTTCTAGTTTTATTTAGATATGAATAATTTTTGTTCATTCGTATTTATAACGCACATATATTATTTGGGAATCATTCTACTTGAACTTATTACGTAGATTCTTGCGAATTAGTATCCAATGTGATATCGTATTTATAGCATTATAACAGGAGGAAAGGAACAAACCAGGAACTTGTTTGACTCATCTATTAACATTCGCTCAATTTTTGTTTCTTTGAACACAAATTAACAGATACCCATAAATTTGTGAATATTCATCCGTCAGCATCAGAATCATCATTCTCTCGTTAACACCAAAATATAGCTGATATGAAGACATTAAACGGCTTCTAAGATAACGAATCCAGAATTACATCTGATCTAGACGAATCCAGAATTTTCAGCTTCTAAAATAAGGGCAGATTTCGGCACTAGTGTAAATCGATAGAACGACGTGTCGAAAGACTCAATTATACTAATCAAAAGTGAAGAATAAGACAAAGAATCATTTGATTTTTTTTTTTAAGGTTAAGACTTCAGACCTTTAACTGACCCTCAAGCAAATTGAATGCAAATACGAAATGGAACAAACAAGAAGATATGACTAATGTTTTAAGTAATAACCATTGCTGTTAGTTACTAATAACATCACTTTTACCATCATTAGTACCCCATCTATTAGTATACCAATTGAACTAACAATCCCCTGTTCTGATGAGGATGATCCGAAGAGACTAGAAGACGATGGTGACTCATCTCTACAAAATTGGGACTCGGAAACAGCCCCACCGGTCACATAACTCCAATTTTAAAACGTTTTTCAAACCTTCAAAGGGACGAACAATACCAAATCCTAAATCCCAATTCCCTGCAGGACCCTACCTTCTCGCTAAACATCAGAAATTCCTCACTCTTGAATCAATAAAGTGGAGCCCTCTGAGGATTACCCTTTCTCCGGTTACACATTTCCAGCACCGGCCCGCAAGCCGGTCGGAAACCCAACGTGTTGCTGCGTTTCTTCCGAGTGACATCGGTGGTGGCGGTACAAGCAAGTGATCCACAGCTCAATCCTCCTCCGTTGTACCCATTACTGCCGCTGGAACCAGCTGATTCAGTCTTCAAGGAATAGGCCGGTTCAAGAACTGTGTCAGGTGTCAATTGGCCATCTTCCAAGCCCGGTTCAGGGCATTCAGGCAGATTTTCGTCTTCACACCACCGGCGGATGTACTTGGACAGGTTACAGCCATTCTCAATGATATGTTGCAGCTGCACAGGATTTGAGACCAACCCATTTCAGAATTCCCGAAAAGAACAATTAGGTTATCAAGAAAATTGGAATTACATGATCATTCAGTGGGTCGATTCCAATTCCCCTTTGACACATTACCTTGCAGTAGAGAGAGCAGTAGATGAAGGCGTCTTGGAGGGCTCTGTCACAAACGACGCACGCGGTGGAGCCTCTGATGGTGGTCTTCCTCCTGGTATAAGGCCTTTGGTTTAGGAAAATTACTTTTGCACCGTTTGATATGTAAGTCTGCGACCAAGAAATTAAAGTGAAGAAGGTGATCAATTGAAGGACATGGAGTTCAAAATTGAGATGAGCCTGTACACATATAGTTGAATTTGAATGAACTTACATGAACAAACTCACAGTCCATCAACTTCTCAGCATCATCAAGCTTAATGACATCGTGATAAACATACCTCCTTATCTGAAATAAAACCAAACAACTCAATTTCTCAGCATCATTACCTTTTTTAAAATAATTATTCATCAATCCACAGAATTATGCTGAATTATGAAGGACAATTGATAGTACTACCTGTAACAGGCAGTGATTCTTGTGTTGGCTGGAGCAATTAGGGCAAATTCCCTCACAGCAGTCGAAACAAAAAATGTTCTTTTCATTCTTCCGAGCATCTTCATGAATTAAGCAAGCATTGAAGAATTTCTCCGTCAAAAGGGCCGAAAGCCATTGAGGAAGAATATCCAACTGCAGACACAAAAGATTATTCATGAAGAAAAAAAACGAAAACTTTGGAAAACCCTGGACTAGTACAGTCAGTTGCAAAGAATTCCCTTTACGAATTAAAGTGGAAAATGGAGAAAGAACCCACCATTTTATTTCCCCTTATCAGTCTGTGTAGCAGTAGATAAGTCTGAGTCCTTGAACCCACTGCAAAAAAAAAAAAAAGAAATTCTGAAGAGAGATATATGATATTGGATTCTTGAGAAAGAGAAGAGTTATGATGATGATGATGGATGCTCAGGGAATTTATAGTTCCAGGGGAGAAAGAGAAAGGCAGAGAGAGAGAAATCAGAATATATGTCAATTGGTCGAATTGAAGAGAAGGTGGGGAGAAAGATATCAAATGATGATGATCAGGGATTCCAGGAAGAGAGAAATGGAGAGGGGTGCAAGAAAAGAGAAGCGGCGCCTGCAACAATTTACTGAGCCAAAAAAAAAAAAAAGGAAAAAAAAAGGACTGTGGGGAAGAAGAAAGAAGGTGGCTTCTGGTTACTATTACCAATGAATCAAAAAAAAAAACAGTGAGAGTGTAGTGGGAAAAAGAGAAGGTGGCAGCCATTTAAAGCTTTTTCTCCATCGTAGGGGTGCTGCTATTTGGACTCTATGTTTTTAGTACTAGTACTACTAGTACTACTAGACTTGCTAAATTGCTATTGGCAATTTGACATTGATCTTTTTTTTACTACTACTACTCTTCTTATTTTTTTGTTTCTTTTCTTTCTGTCCAATTTTAGCAGTTCATTTTGTTGACTGTTGTTTTTAGTTTGATTTTGTATTTTACTGTTTTTTTGTGACATTGTGGAAGGGAAGGTAAGAAGATGTTAGTAACGTGTTAAATTGGGTTTATCCATCACTTCTAGCAGCAAAGGATCAACGCTGCATTATTAAATGATGTCTCGATTATTATACTCCCTCTATCTCACAATTATTGTTCACTTTGAGATTTCACTTTTACTAGTATAATTTGAATTAAAAATAGAAATTCAAACTTTACAATAATTTTGAGACGATAGTAGTATATGAATCATGGTCATTGAACTAATTTGAATTGTTACAGCCCTTACATCATGCATATACATTTTTCTACTCGCACAACTTTAGCCCGATCATGTTTTTATCACTTGTAATGAATTTTTTGTAATGTTTCATCCACTACAAAAAAAAAAAAAAAAGGAAAGAGAGAAAATTTGTGTTTCACTAGAAGAATTTTGTAATACTCACTCTATTTTTTTTAAAAAAAAAATGTACCACCTCCATTTCAAATTATCTGTCGCATAAGAATTAAAGAAATAATAATTGCGACTTAAATTTAACAATACAATTCCTTTCTTATCCTCATTTAATCATCCAACTACTACTATATAATTATCTCATCTTCTAAGGAGTAATTGATTTGTATTTGAATAATGCTTGTAATTAATGGAGGTAAGAGAAAGGGTTATAATTGGAAAAAATAAATTAAGTCAATATTGGAAAAAAAAAAACAACGACAAATAAAAGAAAGCGTGAATTTACCCTAATAGAACAGGTAAATCGAGACAGAGTTGACCACTATTTTTTCAACATATCCTTCTATTGGAAATAAAATAATGTTTATAATGGGTTTTTATTATTTTGCAAAGTAGTTGCATAGACAATAAATAAGGATATTTTTTTATTTTAACTCTATTAATTAATTTTTTTTGTTTTGATGAATCCTCTAAAAATACATATAAAAAAAAAAAGAATAGAAGGAGAACACCACTTTGAGGCAATTAAATAAATTTACATAAAAAGCACATTGTTTTTTGAAAAGAAGAATTTACACGGACACGTGAAAATAAATAATGTGGTAATTTCAGAGAGTAAAAAAATAATTTTAAAAGCCCTTGCAGTGTGATAGAAATTCAAGTAGTAAATGCTGATGTTGTTGTTGGGGATGCATGCTTCTCATCTTCCCAGAACCCTAGAAATGGAGACATCTGGTTGAACTCTAATGGCTGGGTTGCTGGCAAATACACCCAATTTCTCTGAGCACTAAACGACAATTCTCGACGGGGTAGAAGTAGAACTACATCCTGACTTTTTCACTTATCGGTGACAAAAGATAATACAGAGTATTAGTATTACGTTTGAAATTACCAAAATGGATATTAACACACACACACACAAATTACTGAAAGATATGGATAATTTGGAAGTGCGAATTGTAGAATGCAAAGGAGAAGGAGGAAACAGAGGGAACGGCGTCTGAGCTCTAATTCTGTAATTCATCCTGAAAAATTTTAAAAGCCTTTTTTTTTTGGAATAAAGATTGTATTCATTCCATTATATGAAGAAAAAAAGTACAAATTCCATATAGAAAATAAAGTATCTAGACAAAACCAAGAGCTAGACCACTTCAATCAATCCAAGACACAATCTTGTCAAAAATACAGAATAATCTATCAAGAAAAACTGGACTAATACACATCTTCGCAGCCCAAAGTTTGTTCTTCTGAGTACTCTTCATTTTTTTTATCTTTGCCAAGTTCAGACTCAAAGCGAACTTAATTTTCTGCTCAATCTCAACCCCTCTAGGAGGTTCACTTCTAAAAATAAGTCTATTTATGGCTTCCCAAATGAAATAGACAGTTGATACAAAAGTGCTTCTAGTATTGCTATCAGCAACTGAGCTAGATCCATAATGAGACATCATCCAAGATACCAAATCATTCCATAGGATCAAAGGAGCAGAGACATGGACTAGATTCATAGCACGGTTAAAGAGATGACCTGAGAATAAACACTCAAAATATAGATGGTCTCTGGATTCACTTTGCATACTACAAAAACCACAGGTAGTGTTAATAGACTGATCAAATAGAGCCACCCTTTCTTTAGTCTGAAGTCTACCAAGTATAGCTAGCCAAGCAATGAAACTGTGCTTTGGGACAAAATATTTGCCCCATATCAATTTATACCACTGGACAAAAGGGTAATCAGACACTATAGTTAGAAAGGTACCAGATGAAGAAAACGCATGTCCTTTACCTTTCCAAGTAAGTGCTCTAGTGGCAGATCTGTCAGCACATTGTAGCACAAGCTGTCTCAAACATGATTTTCTTCATAATCCAAGAGGTACTTTGAGTGTTCCTGTAATTCCAAAGATCATGATTTTTCAAGTAATATTCATGAAAGGTGTTTATTTTTCAAGCCACCAAGATTACTACTTGAAGGCACCACTTTCAAATTTGGACCATTTTACCCTTATCATTTTTTTAAATTAAATAACTTGACTAAAATAACTCGCATAATAAATTATTCATAAATTTAATGACCTAAAAGCTATATTAACTAATTACAAAAAAATATAAAATTTTAAAAATTTTAAAAAAAATTGAAAATTAAAAAAAAAAACCCAGGCGACCGGGCGGTCCACCCGTCCCGAGTTAACCCGGGACGCGCAAGGAACTCGTCCACTTGTTCACCCGAACGAGTTCCTTGCTCGTCCCGAGTTAACCCGAGACGAGCAAGGAACTCGTTCGGATGAACCAGTGGACGAGTTCCTTGCCCGTCCTGGGTTCACTCGGGAGGGGTGGACCGCCCGGTCGCCCGGTTTTTTTTTTTTTTATTTTTCAATTTTTTTTAAAATTTTTAAAATTTTAGATTTTTTTGTAATTAGTTAATCTAGTTTTTAGGTCATTAAATTTATGAATAATTTATTATTTGAGTTACATTAAGTATCACCAATCTTTGTATTACAAAAAATAGTTAATCTATTTGTACGTATTTATCACAATCTTTGTAGTACAATTATAATTTTTCATTATAAATGTATAATTCTTATTTTAACTAAAAATTATCTTTAAAATAATGATTGAAGTAAAATTTATATTTTAATATCAATTCAATTAAATTAACTTAACGAATAATCTTAAATTTGTTTTCAAGTAAAAATCAATTACTTGTTTACTTTCAAGTAAATATAAAAATCGAGAGTTTAACCATTAAAGTATAAATATTGTTAAATGACAGGGGCAAAATGGTCTAAAAAAATTTTCGTGGCTTTGACTACTAAAGTGGGTGGCTTCAAAAATCCACCCCCTTCATGAATCCATTTGACCCAGCAACTATCAGATTTCAGAGCAATATCCCACAACAGTTTAAGCATCAAGGCTAAGTTTGATGATACTGAGTCCCTAATGCCTAAACCACCTTGAGTAAATGGTTTGCATATATCTTTCCATGCCACATGTGATTTCTTTGTTGGAGCACCAGAACCTGTCCAGAGAAATTTCTGACATAGACTGTCGATATGTTTGAGAACATGTTTGGAGATAATAAAAATCCTTGACCAATATACTTGGACACTTTTCAAAACAGACTTGATCAAAACAAGTCTTCCAGCATAAGATAAAAATTTTACAAACCAACATCTAATAATGGATGTAACCTTTTCCACCAAAGGTAAACAATCATTGATAGATAAAGATTAGCTGCTAGTGGTACTCCAAGGTACTTGACCGGGAGTTGACCTTCAGGAAAACCCAAACATTGGGTTATTTGTTGTCTGATATGCATGCTAGATCCTCCAAAGAAAATGCTGCTTTTAAGATTTTTAGAAGACAAGCATGAGACATCAGCAAAGTGAGATAATATACCTTGCAAGAGTTCAATGGAATGAATATCAGCCTTAGAGAACAGAAATAGGTCATCAGCATAGCACAAATGAGTGGTCATGGTCCTATGGTCCTAAGGCTATGTTTGGATCGTTTTTTCAGTGTGTGTTTTTAGAGGTTTTTTGTATTAAGAATATAAAAAGGTGCATTGAAAATGTAAAAAGGTATGCTGGGATGGGATAGTTATTATTTAATTATTTTGAAAAAACCATCAAAAATACCTTCCAAACAGAGCCAAGGCTCTATTTGGGAGTTTAATTTTTTATGGGTTTTTCTCAGTTAATTAGTAATATTACTTATTAATAAAACTTGTTCATCCCAACACATCTTTTTACATTTTCAATGTAACTTTTTACATTTCTAATACAAAAAATACCTAAAAGCACACACTAAAAAAACAATCCGAATAAAGTTTTTAAGATCTTCTTTTTTCTGTTACTAGTGGTAATACTAAGAGGAGTTATTTTGTGGCTAGTTAGTAATCTATCTGTCATCCTCTCCTCTCCCTATTGTCTCAAATCCTAGCCGCCTCTCAAAAAAAATTTTCTTTCCCCCATCTTCCCTCATGGGTCGATAGGGGAATTGATTTGATTTTTCTTAGTTTAGAGTTCTTTTTATTATTTAATAAGTGATATTTGTCCCTAAAATATAGTTCTTTCAATAGATTAATTGTAATTTATTAAGAGAGTAGGATTTTTCTAGCAGTGTTCGTGGTGTCTATTGTATTGTTGCTGCGATGTCCATAGTTTTGTTTGTTGCTTCACATTGTGCGGTTCAAGAAGATTCAGTCATCATAGATTTATTTGATAGATTTATGATTTGGGGCTTCCGTCACATGATTAGAGATATGTTCTTGATCAGATTGATTATCTGGCACGTGATAGATCCATCATTATATTATATTGGGTAGATCTGGATAGTTTTATCCACGAGAAACACAACAATAGTATTAAGTTTGATTGTAA